CAAACTCAAAGCTCAGCATTCTGGGAAGTGTGCAAGTCCATGTGAGCGGGGGTGGCGAACACGGACTGAGGAAGTGGCAATGGGGCTGGCTCGGGCAGATTAGCTGTGGCCATTCCCACAGAATCTCTGCCACTTCCTCTTGTGTCCCTAGCTTCTCAAGCCCAGTGAGTCCCCTTCTTTCTCCTGCCGGGGACCTACAGAAGGGCCAAAGCTTCTCTACTCTCTGGGGTGCCAAAGCAGGTAGCCCTGGCTTCTGAGGTGACAATGGTGAGCCCTCTCATCTCTATGGACTAGAAAGCCTTCCTCATGCTGGGTGTGGTGGCGCATGCCTGTAATCTCAACACTTTGGGAGGCCAAGGCAGGTGGAGTGCTTGAGCCCACCAGCCTGGGAAACATGGCAAGACATTGTCTATACAAAAAATACAAAAATTAAATGGGCATGGTGGCGGTGTCTGTGGTCTGATCTACTTGGGAAGCTGAGGTGGGAGGACGGCTCAAGGCTGCAGTGAGCCAAGATCATACCACTGTACTCCAGCCTGGGCAACAGAGAGAAACCCTGTCTCCAAAAAAAAAAAAAAAAATCCCAGCACTTTGGGAGGCTGAGGCAGGTGGATTACCTGAGGTCAGGAGTTCAAGACCAGCCTGACAAACATGGAGAAACCCCGTCTCTACTAAAAATACAAAATTAGCTGGTGGTACATGCCTGTAATCCCAGCTACTCAGGAGGCTGAGGCAGGAGAATCACTTGAACCCAGGAGGCGGAGGTTGTGGTGAGCTGAGATTGCGCCATTGCACTCCAGCTGGAAACAAGAGTGAAACTCCGTCTCAAAAAAAATAGAAAATAAAATCTTCCTTAGTAGATCTTCAGTGTCTGGAAAGAAGGTAGAGCAAGGATCATCAAGTCCATTTTACAGATGAGGAAACTGAGGCTCAGAGAGGTCCAGTGGCTCACCTATTCCCCAGCTCCCAAGCCTCATGCATTTTCCACTCTACTACACACTGTCCTCCTGATTTATGGCTTCGTCAAGCTGGCCCAACAATCCCTTTGAAGGAATTATCCCATGCCAGTTTATGGAATCCAAGGGTGGTGGAGGGCAAACTTTGGAGCTAGCACAGAAAGGACACAGAAGAAGAGCGAACACCTCTTCTCTACTAGAGGCCTAGTGGTTTCCAGGCTTCCTCCCACTTTCCTGGCAGGGTCCCTGACCTGGGCATGAAGGGAAGTCAGGCCGATATCCCTGGCTGGGTGGGAGGGTCCTATAGCTTGCAGAACTTAGGAGGGGAGCTGAGCCTTGCTTAGTGGGCATCTACTTGACTCTGGCTCTTTTTATTTATTTATTATTTTTTGTAAAGAACAAGTTCTCCCTATGTCGACTAGGCTGATCTTGAACCTCTGGGCTCAAGTGATCTTCATGCCTCGGCCTCCCAAAGTGCTGGGATTACAGGCAGGAGCCACAGTGCCCAGCTGACTCCAGCTCTTCAGATGCAGAACCTCAGCTGGATTCAGGAGACTTGGGCTCTGAAATGAGCACCTGCAGATGGGCACTGGCTCAGGCAGACAGAAATGGCTTGGGCTAAAGGAGATGATGGACAGAGGGTGCTGGTGAGTTTTTGAGGAAAACAGCCAGGGAAAGAAGAAGCTACTTCACAGGGAGGGTCCCCCTGCCAGGACCCAGGGATGGGGCCACAGGGCCAGCATAGCTGGTGGCAGTCTCCCAAAGCCTGCTGAGCGGGCAGAGAGGAGAGCTGACCTGCGGCCCCAGCACAGCAGGCAGCACGTGCTCACACGTGCTTCCTCATCCACTGCCTTTTGTCCTCCCAAGAACCTGGGAAGGGAAACATCATGCTCTTGTCACAGGCCAAGAAACTGCCAGAGGCAACCACAGGCTGTCAGTGTCAAACTTGAGTGGTCTGGGCTCCAGCAGGAGGACAAGCAGGGAGGTGACAGCAGGGTCTCTTGGCTGGCTGAGAGGTTTCCTGCCCAGTCCTGGAGGGAAGACACATCAAAGGCTGGGAGGGCAGATGCTACCACAAGCACAGGCTTGTCTGTCCTGGCATCAGGAGCTGTGAGAGGAAACCCCCAGGAAGGAGGAACTTTGGGTTATCACAGCCATAAAAGAGGCCCCCATTCAGATACCAACCAGTTGAGTCACAGAAAGAAACTTCTCCTGGGGCCTCTTCTGTAAATTGTGGGGATTAGGCTGGATGGTTTCTATACTTTTAACAACTCTAAATGCCCTGAGAATTACTGGAGAAGTCCCCAGCCACACCCTCCAGTGGTGGTTAAGAGCATGGATGCTAGAGCCAGACCACGCTGGTTTAACTCTGCCACTTAGAAGCCGAGTTGAACTTGGGCAAGGAATTTAATCATTCCCTACCTAAGTTTCTTTATACAGGGATATCAGCCCCTATCCTCTGCCTGATAGGACAGTTATGATATTTCCCTGAGTTCACACATGAAAGGACAGAGCGAGGCCTGGGGCATGTGAGGTGCTCTTTGTGCATGAACTGAGCTGGTTCTGCTGATTGTCAGCACATGCGTGTCTGTCTGTGCCTGCAGGGCTGGAGTGCAGTGGTGCGATCTCGGCTCATTGCAACCTCTGCCTCCTAGGTTCAAGCCAATTCTCCTGTCTCAGTTTCCTGAGTAGCTGGGACTACAGGCACACCCTACCATGCCCAGCTAATTTTTGTATTTTTAGTAGAGATAGGGTTTTACCATACTGGTCAGGCTGGTCTCAAACTCCTGACCTCAAGTGATCTGCCCCCCTCAGCCTCCCAAAGTGTTGGGATTATAGGTGTAAGCCACCACACCTGGCCAGAAATGTGATTTCAAATCTATGCTTCACATCAGGGTGTACGCAGCTGCTCCCACATGTCCTTTCTCCCTAAGAGTATCCTTCTCAAGATTTGACCTTAGAATACTGTTTAGAGTCCAATTTGGGGTCCCGTCTGGGGCTGGAGGATCCTGAGAGGCCCCACACCGGCTGTCAGGCAGGGGACAGGACTGAAAGTTGGGTCTGTCACCTGGGAGCCTCTTTCCTGACTCTCGGGCTGCCTGTAAGGGCTACGCCTTCTGGGATTGAGGACCTCTAAACTTCCTACCTGACTGGTTTGGAGCTTTTTAAGGAAGGAGGTGAGTCAGCACAGTTTACCCCAGCAGTAACTGGCAATCCGGATTCTCCTTGGGGACAGCAGCCCTGGAAGACTTATAGCCACTCTGTAAGCCCTTGACTGAGGCCTTGGCTGGCAGGACAGAACAGAAGACTTGCATTGCTGTGTTCAGATCCTGAGATGGGATCCCTCAGGCTGAGGCCTCTGAACAGCTAAGGACTCAGTATGAGGAGTGACCCCCCCCCACCCCACCTGATTCCCCCAGGAGGATGCAGAGCCTGGGAAGCCAGCAGTTCTCCACAAGGCACATCTGGCCAGAGGTGAACCAGAGGATCAGGTGGGCCCCACCCAGGGCTCCACTGACTTCGCCCATTTGGGAAAGGGAGAACACTGTGACTGCCAGGTGTATACACATCTGTCTCCACCTGAGATTCCAAGCATCTCAAAGGCAGGGACCGCCTCTTGGTCACTTCTGTCCCCTTCTCTCACACACTGTAGGTACCATATACATGCCTGAGGAGGTCCTTTTTGTACCACTGATGGAATATGCTAGGTATAAATGCCTCAAAAATGAATAAGAAATGGCTATTTCTCCTTAAAAGGCTCATAGTTTCTCAAAGTATGAAGCCAGATAGAAAACTCAGGGGACCAGGAACACCACCTTCAGAGTGGAAAAGCTCCTGATGAGAGCTCTTCCACACCACACCAACCCCACCTCGCTCTGGAGCCTGACAGGGCCCAGGTGGACATGAAGTCTGACTTGGAGAGGGTCACTGTCCACTGTTCTCCATGTAACTTGCTATCATTTCAGACAAAGGCCACTGGGCACTACAGCTCTTATGGTGAAAGGAAGGGGCAGGAAGGCCCTGCCCTGAGACGGAGACAGAGAGAGGCAAAGAGCTGCCATCCTGTCCACAACAGAGGCTATGCCCTGTCCTTCAGTCTCATGACCAGCCTGGGTCCTCAGTCCCTCATCTCCTGGGAACTATCCCCCCATCTCACCCCCTACATCAGAACCGGACTGCCCACTTGCCCTCTCTCTCGGAGTTAATGGCACTTCTCTTCTCCCAGGCAGAAACCTTGTTTCTTGCTCATGTGGGTCAGGCCTGTGACCATTTGGCACCTGGACTCTCCCTTCCTTTCCCTTCTCACTGCCACCTCCTAGCTCTGCTCCTCTGCTATGCAGCAGCCTTGGAGTGGTCTCCCCTGCACCAAACCACTCTTCGTGTGGACCAAGGAGTGAATCACCTCACTTTCAACATGTCATTCACCGGCTCAAAAGCACTTCTCTGATTATGGGAGAAAATCTAGCCTGGGCATTTGGTGCTGGTTACAATCGACTTTGATCTGGCCTTTCCATAGACTTTCCTTGCCTTAAAGTCTCAGCCACATTCCGAAATCCCACCTAGGCTTCAAGGCGCAGCTCTAACCCCTCGTCCTTGCGGGGTTCGTGGGGCACCTCCCTGTCTGCAGCCTGAGCCCTCCACGCTCACTGGGTCACTCGGCCTGCACGGCCACTACTGCAGCTCGTGGGCACAAGTCCTGGGGCCTCTCCCAGGTCGTGGAGGGAGGTGCTCAGGCTCGGACGCCAGCACTGGAAGGGCCGTGGAAAGGAAGCGGTCCAACCCTCCTGTTTAAAGATGAGGAAACAGGCGCTGAGACTGAAAGTGACAGCAAATCAAAGCCAGGGTTCGGATCCCCCAGCCCCGGGCGCAGCCCGGCTCTGCACTTCCCCGGACCTCGCATCCCTTGGGTGGCCATAAAACGCGCGAGCCGAACGGAGCAAGTGGGCAAGCAGAAGCCAGAAAGGCAGGGCCGAGATGGAGGAAGGCGGAGAACGAGGGCTGGGGTCGCCAAGGGCCCGCAGGCCCGGCAGGGCCCAGACTCACTTTGCCGAGAGCGTGTTGATGGAGCCGGTAACGAGCATGAGCCCGGCCAGGAACAGCTGGTACTTGGTCCAGGCCATGGCGGCGGACGCTGGGGCTCGATCCAGTCAGCGGTGCTGGGCCCCGATACCCGGGGTTCGCCAGCACGAGCGCTTCCGGGCCGGGCGTCACGTGACCCCGCCGGTCCCGCCCCGCCCGTTCGCCCCGCCCCCGGGGAGCGCGCGGCCGCCGCGGTGCCACCTCTCTGCAGAGCTGGCCCGAGAGCTTTGGTGGCCACACAGCGGCCCTAGCAAATAATGGCTCAGGTCTTCCTATTTTTTTTTTTTTTCTTCTCTTCCCTGCCCTTTCCTGCCTTTTTTTTTTTTTTTTTTTTTTTTGGTCGGGGGACGGAGTCTCGCTGTTGCCCAGGCTGCAGTGCAATGGCACGATCTCGGCTCATGACAATCTCCGCCTCCCAGGTTCCAGCGATTCTCCTGCCTCAGCCTCCCGAGTAGCTTGGATTACCGGCGCCCACCACCACGATCAGCGAATTTTTTGTATTTTTAGTAGAGACAGGGTTTCACCATGTTGGCCATATTGGTCTCCAACTCCCGACCTCAGGTGATCCGCCCACCTCGGCCTCCAAACGTGCTGGGATTACAGGCGTGAGCCACTGCTCCGGGTCTTGATTTCTTATTTTTATCTTTGGGACTTCCTGTTTGTAAAAAGGGCTGATGGGACGGTGCAATCAGGGCGCATCATGGATGTTACAGCATTTTGTAAATCATTTCGAGAGGTTGAGCTGGGCTGTGTCAGAGAGGAGCCCCGAAGTGGTCCTGCCAGGAGTTCCCTGGGGACCCTGTACAGAGGCGATTCCCACGCTGGACGTTTCCACTTCTGGGCTTCTCTCTGACACTGCCCACCTTGGGTATAGTTCATATCTTTCAGCAAAGTGGCGAAGGAATCCAGCTCCAGTTGCCGAGGATACCATTTTATAGCTGAGGACAGTAAATCCGGAGAAGCCGGCCGGGCGCGGTATCTCACGCCTGTAATCCAAGCACTTTGGAGGCCAAGGCGGGCGGATCACGTGAGGTCGGGAGTTCAAGACCAGCTTGACCAACACGGTGAAACCCCGCCTTAAAAAAAAAAAAAAAAATCCAGAGAAGCAGAGTGATTTGCTTAAGAACCTGCTGGTGAACAGTAGGGTAGGGATTTGCGAAGTTCTCTAGTCTCCCAAAATCTGTCTCTTCTGCATGGCCCCTGCACCAAACCCTGCTCACTGCTCCTTTGTGGACTCTGGTGACAGCTCAGAGGCATCCAGGCAGAAAGACCATCCCTAGGTTTGTTTGAAGAGGGTGTTGATGAAGAGTCAAACTCTAAAGTATTTGGAGTGATTTATTCTGAGCCAAATATGAGTGATCATGGCCTGTAACACAGCCCTCAGGAGGTCCTGAGAACATGTGCCCAAGGTGGTGGGGGCCCAGCTTGCTTGGTTTTGTACGTTTTAGAGGCACGAGACATCAATCAAATACATTTAAGAAATACATTTGTGGCCGGGCGTAGTGGCTCACGCCTGTTATCCAAGCACTTTGGAGGCCGAGGCGGGCGGATCACCTGAGATCGAGAGTTCAAGACCAGCCTGACCAACGTGGTGAAACCCCGTCTTAAAAAAAAGAAAGAAAGAAAGAAAGAAATTTGTTTCGTTTAGAAAGGTGGGACAACTCAAAGCCAGAAGGAAGGGAGGGGGTAGGGGAGAAAGGGGAAAAGATCTATCTATGCTAATGTGATATTGTGCTGGCCTAGAGCCAGAACCAGAGCAAAACTATTTTATAAAATGCAAAACTGTTTTTAGATAAGTTGAAATGGCTGCCCCATTCTCCTTACAATAACTACTGTCCTTGGCCTCTGTAAATAGAACTGTTAGTTTGTTCTTCAAAACTATGTAAAGCTGTTTACCTTTTCTTATCAGTAACTGCCAGAATTGCTAGCCTTTGCTTACCAGCAATTGCCAGACTAAGCAGCCCAAGCTAGTTCCATCCTGGCTCCTGTGGCTTGTAATAAGTAACTAAGGTCTGTGATTTCCACCTTAACCAGATAATGTGTAAACAAATGTTTATCTTGACTTCTGTAAACCACTTAAGTAACAAATGGAATGACAAAAGTCCCCATCCCTTGGAATGTCCGGAGACCCCCACCCTCATCTCTGCCCAGGAGGTAATTTACAGAATCCACTAGCCCTCGGAATGTCTGAAGCCTTTTCATCCCCATCCCTGCCCCTCACCCCCACTCCCAAGGTGGTTTTTCGGGTATAAAAAATCGTGGCACCCTCCTGTTGCCACCACAGGTTGGAGAGACGTGAGTCCTCTGTGGTCGCCGGCATAATAAATGACCCTGCAATCTGGCATACTTTTGTCTTGTGATAACTTTCTACACTCGGTCAAATACAACACTAATAGAGATTTTTTGTTTTTTTGAGATGGAGTTTTGCTTTTGTCACCTAGGTTGGAGTGCAATGATGCAAACACGGTTCACTGCAACCTCCACCTCCCAGGTTCAAGCAATTTTCCTGCTTTAGCCTCCGGAATAGCTGGGATTATAGGCGCCTGCCACCACACCCAGCAATTTTTTTTTTGTTGTATATTTAGTAGAAATGGGTTTCACTGTGTTGGCCAGGCTGCTCTTGAACTCCTGACCGCAGGTGATCCACCTATCTCAGCCTCCCAAACTGCTGGGATTACGGACAATATTCTTAACAGATGCAAAATTTCCCTAACAAAGAACAGATTTGAAGGGCCGTTTCAAGATATGGCAAAGAAACATGTTTTGGGGTAAAACTTTCTATTTTATCAAGTAATATTATGCCAGAGTCAGATTGGAAAGTAAATCACGATATATAGGGTTGAATAAAACCTATCTGATGAGAATTTATGGTTTGTAGGGCGTGACTCTCTAGACCTCTTAGATGAGGAATTTGGGCAAGATAAAACAAATCAAAGCTTAGTCCTCAGGGGTTTCTGACTTTTAAATTCCTACTCTTGGCAGGTCGTGGTGGTTCATACCCGTAACCCTAGCACTTTGGGAGGCTGAAGTGGGCAGATGGCTTGAGCTCAGGATTTCCAAACAAGCCTGGACAACATGGCAAAACTTCTACTAAAAATGCAAAAATTAGCCAAGTGTCACAACAAGTACCTATAATCCTAGCTACTCAGGAGGCTAAGCAGGAGGATCACTTGAGCCCTGGAGGCAAAGGTTGCAATGAAATGAGATCGTGCCACTGCACTCCAGCCTGGGTGACAAAGTGAGACCCTGTCTAAAAAAAAAAAAAAAATCTGCTCCTATATACCTTCCCCAGTGCTCTCGTCTGCACCCATGCCCTGTCATGCCAGAGGCAAGACCCTTTTGTTACCAGAGAGGGATCCTGATCCAGACCCCAAGTGAGGGTTCTTGGACCTGGCATGAGAAAGAATTTGGGGGAAACCCATAAAGTAAAAAGAAGTTTGTTAAGAAAGTAAAGGATAGGCTGGGCTCAGTGGCTCACGCCTGTAATCCCAGCACTTTGGGAGGCTGAGGCGGGTGGATCACGAGGCCAGGAGTTCCAGACCAGCCTGGCCAAGATGGTGAAACTCCAGCTCTACTAAAAAATACAAAAAATTAGCCAGGCATGCTGGCACGCGCCTGTAATCCCAGTTACTTGGGAGGCTGAGGTGAAAAATTGCTTAAACTTGGGAGGCGGAGGTTACAGTGAGTCAAGATTGCGCCACTGCACTCCAGCCTGGGCAACAGAGCAAGACTCCGTCTCAAAGAGGAAAAGAAAAAAAAAGAAAGTAAAGGATAAAGAATAGCTACTCCATTGGCAGAGCAGCCCTGAGGCAGCTGGTTGGCTATTTTTATGGATATTTCTTGATTATATGCCAAAGAAGGGGTGGATTATTCATGAGTTTTCTGGAAAGGGGGTTCTTCCCCTTTTTAGACCATATAGGTTAGCTTCCAGATGTTGCCATGGGATCTGTAAACAGCTGCAGCGCTGGTGGGAGTGTCTTTTAGCATGCTAATGCATTATAAATAGCGTATAATGAGCAGTGAGAAAAACCAGCACTGGGCACTTTGGGAAGCTGAGGCAGGTGGATCATCTGAGGTCAGGAATTCAAGACCAGCCTGACCAACATGGAGAAACCCCGTCTGTACTAAAAATACAAAAATTAGCCGGGCGTGGTGGTGCATGCCTGTAATCCCAGCTACTCAGGAGGCTGAGGCAGGAGAATCGCTGAAAACTCAGGAGGCCGAGGTAGTGGTGAGCCAAGATCGAGCCATTGCACTCCATCCTGGGCAACAAAAGTGAAACTCTGTCTCCAAAAAAAAAAAAGTTTAGTGAGACTTAGAATGAATAAAATACAGCCCAAGGGGCAGACTGGGGCAGCCCACAGTGGCAGACACCCATCCCTATCAGAGGCCATTCCTATAGGCCACAGTGACTTAGTTGGTGAGGCTCTGGACCATTTTCCCCATGTGTCCAGACCAAGGGAACGTCCTGAAGTAAACATTACTGATGATCATTATTAAGACCAGACCGACATGATGTCACTAGCAGCACAGTCTCTGTCTGTGCCTACAGCCACATCATATGATGAATTTTGATTTATCACAATATTCTGACCATTTGTCAAACTGCTGTCTGTGGATCCAGGAGACAGAATTTATTGGCAAATACACGTGGAGCCCACTAAGTGTAAGGCCTAGAGCCAGATATGGGGTCCTAAGGAAGATGGAAGCAAGACAAGGTCACTGTCCTCAAGGAATTTCAGATTCAGTGGAGGAGAGGGGTCAGCACTGCATTAACCATGCAGCAAGGTGAGAATGTGTAAGAGGCAGAGGGGTTGAGGGAGGGATGGATTACCTAAGGGAGTGGGCAAGGAGGGGACAACAGTGACAATCAGAGCTGTCCTGGACCAGGTGCCCTGTCTGTGTCAGGCCTGTGCCTGGAGCTTGACCTCTCTGGCCTTGGTTTTCATAGTAGCCCTGTGGAACTGGAATTCAGAGGGAACCTGAGTAGGGACTTGAAGGAGGAGCAGGATTGCTCCAGGTGGGGAAGGCAGGGTCATCCCAGATAGGGACAACCACGTGGATACCATGGGGTGGCTGATGAGCCCTTACACTGGGGTGTGGCCCACAGTGAGGCTCCAGGCCTCTGCCACCTGGCTAGAAT